GGACTTTGAGTGTAAGTATCATACTCACAGAATTTGTATTACTTCAAGTTCAAACTAACTTAATTTTAACTGAAACAATGAAAATTTGTAATTATTCTAAAACTAAATAATAATCAAATAATCTACTTATGAATGAAAGACCTAAATCAATTAATGAATGCAAGTCTGATGAAAATATAATGATGAAAAGCGTACAAAGATCCCGAATCCTATTTAACCTCGAACCTTTGAATTTGACAACATGATTGAATTATAAAGATTGATATTTCTAATTTGTTTAACAATTTCTCTAAATTAGAATTAAATATTCTTATATTAACCCCGACTATATTTCTGTGATGGATGCGAGTATACAACAATAATTTAAGGATTTTTTAATCCTTAAAGATCACGTAGAGTATAGCAATATATCATATCCCCTATCAGATTTTATGGCAATTAACATTTTGTCTTACTTTCAATTTTTTGAACATAAAACAAGTCACAAAACTTATAAAACTATTACACATATAATTGTAGGGAAAAATAAATCTATGTCAACCACTGAAGAATTCAAAATGGTTTTTAATATCAAAAACAAAATTCAAAAGTTAAAATTTCATATTACGGTTCATCAAAAACTTAGGGGCCGAAAATAATCTAGCCTAGCATGATAAAGAGACAAAAACAAATACAAATGATTGAACTATTAACCTGGGAAAGAAGAAAATCAAATAGTATAATTACATCTTCGTGCTTGATCTTCAACCCGAATGAACTCTCCAATGAAAATCCTAATTTTTCTCCAAAAAGATGAATAGAATTGTATATATGATCCCCCTAATTTAAAGTTGATAAGTCATATTTATATTCCTCTCAAAAGTGTCCCAAAGATCTCAAAGCATTGTTCAAAGAAAAGCCTAAAGAAAGATTTCCTTATTGGAGTAGAATTCTGTACGAAAAAATGGATCTGGGTGCTTTTTGCTCGGCAGACTACCTACGCTAAACTTGGGCAATCACCCAGGCTATGAAATTGATGCCTGCTGCCATGTTTTCGGGTTGGGCAACTATAGTTGGGTGATCCCCCAAACCACTCCAATTGTTTGAAACTGTATTTTAGAATTTTAGTCATAAGTTTCAATCATGATATTGAATTGAGATGGTTCAAAATGAGTTGGATAGCTAACTAAAAGGCTACAATTCTTTTTAAACATTAATTTTCCAATTTAAATGTTTGCTACACTAAAAGTGGGTCTCAATCTGCGGCCAAAGAAAATATATGGAGCAAAGCTTGTGCGGCTAAAAATTAATCTGTGAAAATACTTTTACTATAATTCACTCCTTTGACCTCAATCCTATGTGATATTTAATCATAATTTTATGTTATGAATCAACTATTGGATATTTTACACGTTGGTCTCTGAATTTTCAAGTTAGTTGTAAAATTCTCCTTTCATTCCTTTTATTTTTTAAATATTTAGAGACGGGTCGAATATTAAAATAAAAGAAAATCAACCTAAGTTAAGTGGAAATTAACACTTTGATGACATAAAAGATTTGCAAATAACCCGAATAAGTGCATGAAATATATTTATTAATCGCATTGGAAAGAAGTTATCAATAGTGAGATGGATTCCATAATGTAAAATTATACTCAAGAGTTGGTTGTAAATAGATTTTCAAGAAGATATTGAAACCAGATGGATCCATTGATAAATATAAGAAAATTGATCGCAAAAGGCTATAGATAAAAGGAATATCTTAATTTCTTCGATACTTACTCATCTATGACAAGAATCACTTTGATTAGACTTTTGAATGCAATTGTTGCATTGCAAAACATTGAGATTCATCAAATGGACATTAAAGTGATATTTTTGAATGGTGAATCAGAAGAAACAATACATATGGAGCAACCTGAAGGGTTTATTGCTCCTAACCAAGAAAAAAGTGTGCAAACTCGTTAAGTCTATTTTTGGATTGAAGTAACCTCCAAAGCAATGACACAAAAAGTTTGACATAACAATATCATGAATTGATTTTAAAATTAATGAATGCAATAAGTGTGTATACACACCTAAGTCATATATAATTGTGTGTTTATATGTTGATGACATTTTAATTATGGGTAACGGTCATGATATCATCATGAACACAAAGAAAATATTGATGAAACACTTCGCCATAAAAGGATATGGGTATGGCAGACGTTATATTAGGAATTGAAATTTATAGAATATATGATGGAATTGTTTCTTTCCCAATCTCAGTATGTTGAGAACGTACTAAAAGGATACAATCTATATGAGGAAAGGTCAGTGGAAACCCCAATTGATTTAAGTTTACAATTGGTCAAAATCATGTTGCAAGTGAAACCCCAATTGATTCAAGTTTACACTTGGTCAAAATAATGTTGTACTGGTGTCTCAACTAAAGTATTCATAGGTTATGACAATCGAATGTTTATTAAAAATTGCAATCGATTGGGTATAGCATGCGATGAATAAACTTAGTAGATTCAAAAGTAATCCAAACAACTAACCATTTGGAAGGCATTAAATAGAGTTTTTAGATATTTAACATTTACCTTAAATCTTGGATTATATTATACAAGATATCCAATTGTATTGGAAGAATATTGTGATGCGAATTGATTATCCGATACAAAGGATTTCAAGTCTACTATTGGTTATATTTTTACCATTAGTGGTGTTGTCATATCTTGAAAGTCCTCAAGATAAAGTTATATAGCTCAATCAACGTGGAATCAGAGTTAATAGCTTTAGACAAAGCTGGAGAAGAAGTAGAGTGATTTAGTAGCTTATTGGAGGACATTCCAAGTTGGCCTATGCCAGTACCTGCAATTGGTACACACTGTGACAATCAATCGACTATTCGAAGAGCACAAATAGCATGTATAGTAATAAGTCTAGACATATACGTCGTAGATACAATAACATTAAGCAATTGATACCAAATGGTATTATTTCCATTAATTATGTGAAATCTAAAGAAAATATTACGGATCTGGTTACGAAAGGTTTGCCTAGAGATCAAATATATTTTCTATCGAAAGGAATGATATTAAAGATTATTACATAAGAGTCTTTATAATGGTAATTCAAACTCGTTGACTGGAGATCTCGAGATCTTTGTTCAATAAGATAACTAAGTTATGAAGGTTTCATAAAGCACTAAGGAAATATTTCCTACTTATTCCTATTTTAATTAAAAGTGCTTTCTACAGAATGTTTGAGATTAAGTTAAGTTTTTAATGATTCCTATAAGTTGATTAAGTCAAATGGAGTATGGTAGAATACTCTCAATAGGAGGTCACCGATGTAAGTGTAAAGTGGGCCACCTCTATGATAATTTTTTAGGTGAAATTCTCCTAAACACTTATAAAACTCAATAGTGGTTCAGAGCTAAAATGAACATAGCCATGAGAATTAAAATTGCTAGGAAAGATACAGTGTGAGTATTGTTATCTTAGTTTACAACAACTGTTAAATAGCTCAATATATCATGTTCACTAATTAGCCAAGTAAATTCGATAAAATTTTACCAAGGCAAGTTCAAAGTTAGAAGCTACCTCTCGTGATACAATGTCTTTTTGCTTATACTCTTCACTCGCGTCTGCATTCTCATTTGCATTTCTAGTAAATTTCATTTATATGGGGGATTGTTGGAATCAAGTTTATAAAATGTTGATTTTGTATCAATTTTGACCAAGTATTCGAATATGCTTTGATGGTTAATTCTCATGTTTTAATAGAGTAAACATCAAGTAGATGATCGTGATAATTTGGATTTACAAAATCAAGTCTGGATGAATAAGAAATTGATGTTCAAAGTGAGGCAGAAAAAAGGAAAAACTGGACATATCACTTGATCGCTCGAGCAGTTGCGTTGTGCGTAGTGAGTGGCCATGTCTCTCAAAGAGACACTCGAGCCATGAGGAAGCAACCAATTAGCTGTTTGAAGGGCTGTGTCTCTTTGTTAAACCTGATGAATTTTGGGGAGTGTCTCCCAAGCCATAGCACGTCAACCTCTATAAAATTGACTCCTTTGATGGTCTAACTTCATTTCAATTCATGTGCTTTGATTACATTGCATCAAAACACTCCAAAATCGTTGATTTTCTTGCATAAAAGATCATTCAAAGTAGAGAGTTCTTTTCAATCTCGACTTTGTTCTTTCTTGTTGTTTGAATTGCTTCCATTATAAGGAGAAACTATTGCATCTTGGAAGACTATTATCAAGACACAATGAGCACATTGGCGGACAAATTCATCTTAAAGACATAGTGTTAAACACTAGCCTCGGTTTATAAATCTATTATTCCTTTTTCATTTCTTCATTTCTTTTTGTCATTTCAAGAATGTAGTTTACTTTGTTTTACTTATTCAAATTATAATTTACAAATGCAAGCACATGCACCAGCACAAATAGAGGTGGAATAATGTTGCTACCACTTCTCCATATTTTTTGCTCTCCAGTCGCATTTTCTGCAAAGACATTAGTTTGTAAGATTGTGTTAGTCAAGCTAATCAATGTTTCCTTGGACCGAGAATCTTTCCATGTTAATCCAAGTAGTCAACCATTTGTTGTGTTATTCAATCTAATTGCCCAACTTTGCCTTGGTTGATATGCGTACTTCCTAAATTTGAAACCAGTAGGATAGCGGTCGCCTAGTAAATTGATCCATATCAATTTATCGAAATTATACTTTTAGCTTGTTTATTTGACAAGTCTTCTATGTGTAAACCTAATTTATTTCCATCAGAACAACAATTTTGTTAAATGAGTAACGAGACTTGAATGGAAATCCTACTTTGCTATCATGTTAAAAAGCATTTTAAGATGAAGCCTAACTTAGCATTATCAGAATGACTTAGCCAGATTAATAATATGTCGGTTATCAAATAATTTTCTGTATACCATTCATTTGAACCAACAAAAAATCAACTGAAGGGGGACACAAGCAGACCTAAAACAGCTAATACATAGTACTTCTCACATATCAGAATTGTAGGGCGCCTCATTAATGTTTAACCTACATTACAAAAGATGACAAATGACCGTTGCTATAATTCTGTGATACTCTTCAACACATGCCTTCTTTGAGCTTGATGCAGATAGATTGAAATCTAAATAGCAGTGAAAACCCAAACTTCATCAAGGACAGGACCACAAAGAGTCCCGTAGTCATTGGTCCTTGTGTGGTAAAAGGAGCTAAAGAAGGTTAATCTGGTTCTGTGCGAGATTGCTTTGAACTGGAACTTGAAAGTCTTGAACTTCCCCTTTCCTTCAGATTTGAAGGGAGCTTTCATTGTTCCTTTAGCAGCAAATGCTTCGACCATCATCGATCCATGGCAATTATTCTTTGCATCTCCTACAGTGAATGCAACATTATAGACCTTGTTGGGGACTTTTCTGATTACTTGGGCTATGGCACTCTCTCTTCCTGCAACTAGTTCTACTGCTACTCGTCCAAAGGGGATGTTGAAATGCTTTGAGTCTATGAACTTGACAGCTTTAACAGATTCGATGATCCAACCGGGAAGTGGGGATATCAAATCTTTCTGTTTGGGAGGGAGTAGGACATCATGAGAAGAGTTGATCAAGAGATGAGGCCCCTCCTCAAAACCATTATTCTTGACTAAGTTAGCTGCAAGAAATTGGGATCAAATTAACTCGAAGTCGTCTATTCGCTGCTTAAGCCATGCTTAAGCTTAATTACTAGCAACAATTTATGCTTGATATGTAAAATTAAACATGTATACATCCTAGAGAATGCAGAATATTTTTACATCAAGAATCAAAATGGTGCAGCAAAATGGTTCGATAGTATTGCATAAGACAAGACAACATAAAATATTTTTGACTCCATTTTCCAATCCCTAGTACCATACATATAAGAATAATTGACTTCCAATCTATTTTGAGGAAGTAGAATATGAAAACTTTAGGCTAGTCATGAAAAGTAAATAATTACCTTTGGTGAACCTTGGAGGGAAAAGTTCTTTAACAGCAACAGCATCCAGGAGAGGTCCACAAGCAGGATCCTCTTGCATTCCAGGATTATGAAAAATCTCCTTCACTGAATTAGAAGTGGCTTTGAGTCCCCAAGCATAAGTGTCACCACCATTACTACTATACAGAGTCTGCAAAGGGAGATCCCCGGATTGAGGGGGTACCGACACTCTCAAGACCTCGTCTTGGGCACAAGTTCTTGATGCACCAAATGTGAGTGCATATGTCGAGCCATTTTTGACAGGGATTGTTTGGGAAATTGAGGCCTTGTTTCCAAGTCTCACAGCGTGAAGGCCATGGGCTACTGCAAAGTACATTCCACCGAGCTGTGGTCCTTAGAGATAGACTAGACTAAGCCATTGATTTCCCACTTGGGCAGTGCATATTTCCCTTGCAGCACTGTTTTCTTTATGTCAGTAGGCTTTGGTTTCTCTTCAAAGTTTCAATTTGGAAGTAGACCTGAGAAATCATAGAAGTAGCAAAACGAAAGACTTTTTTCAACCTCCCATTGGTGCAAACAGAAGGATCTGTATCCGAACTATCAAAAACTCTCTCTCAGACACACACCCATACTCCACAGGAAGTACATTTTTCTCCAAAATCATGTCCCAGACTCCCAGGACTCGAACCCTCATCACTCTTGGTTGAGAAAGCCCAAACATTAATAGAAACTATAAAGAAATGTGCAAATGATGCAACAAACATCCCCAGAAGGATACAACAGAGAAACAGAGCAAATCATTATTCATTTCGAGAAATGCCAGAGAAAAGAGAAGCACTAATAAAGATCTAGCTTTATAAGAAAAGATTAGAACGTTAAGAACTCCCAAGTAAAATAGACAAGATTTTTGAGCATTTACCTTCCAAAGGGGCAGGAGCAAGAGCAGAGACTGTGTAGACAAAGCAGAGAGAAAGCACAAACGAAATCTTCCAACCCATTTTGTAAACAAGCTCGAAGGATCTACGATAAAGAGTATTAATTTGTCTTATGAATACATTATCAATTTAAGTTGATGAGAAAAGTAGACAAAATGTACCAAACGAAATAAAGCCTATTAATGTCAGACCAAATTCTTCTTAATTTTCTTTTTGTCAGTTGGAATTGGAAAGTATAAGAAAACCTACCAGTGTGTAGAAACTTTAATAAAGAGTAGATGGCAAAATTAATGCGTCCATTATGGAAAGTTTGCCAGCACACAGAGTAGAAAATTATGAGACATAGTTGAACACAACATGCACAACAAATTGACACGTTGAGTACTAATTATTTAAAATAACAAATATTATAAAAGATTGTCGTATTTTACTATTATTGAATCCAAAAATACATCAAAATGATCCATTTGAGAAAGTTATTAAAGTGGTTATTTGGATATTGTTTGAAAATTGAAGAGAAGAAGAAAATGAATGATGATGCTTATGTTTTTATATTTCTCTTTTCCGTTTTGTTGGATTTTCATTTTCCCAACAATACAAATGCTCCTTACCTTTCGATCTTTGGATTTTAACCCAACATGACTTATTTTTCTAGTTCATTTAGTTTAGTAAAATTGAAGTCAATTGACTAATTTATTTGTGGTCTTGATCTATTAACTTCTTAAGCAGATATTATCATGGTCAAGTAAAAAATTATATTCAAACCGATATATGTATTTAGATTATTAAATTTTTGGAGGGTTGCACATATAAATTATATATGACTTATTTAAATAAACTGAATTCAAAATTTTATTAATAAAATTAAACAAGCAGGGGACCATTTCCAATTGTTTTTCCAGTTTTGATATGAGCGTTTTCAAATATTTGTGGAATGTGGGACCCTATAAATCAAGAAAATTGGAGGAATTACGATCATTATTACTTTATGCTGTCTAAAGAATCATAGTTACTGGCGTGATTTACTCTTTAGATTTCAATCCTACCATGTGAGGTCTTGACAAGGACCAATGGTTTGGTTTGATTTTATTTTTTCTAAATTTCCATAGTGATGCCACTCACTTTTTTATCCAATGTCCAAATTAAAATCTATATTCCGCACCATGTTTAAATAGAAGAAATAGTGAAATACTTCGCTCTTTGGTTAAGTTAAAAATCTTTCAAAATCTATCAAAAATTTAATTTAGTTAAATTAGATAGGGCTTAATTTCAACAGAAAATAAAGAAAACAGGAAAATCATGAACTATCCTTGGTGCTTAATTTTTGTTTAACAAAATTTTTAATTAAAGTTTTAGTAGATTTTGATTAAAAGTTGATGTAATATGTCGCCAAAAAGTTGATAAAAATAAAGTTATATATATATATATATATAAAATTTGGTCGGTTTAAAACTTGACAAATTTTATGAATGCTTTATCAAACAAAGCAATAAAGAAATATTAAAATATTACAACCTCTTCCAAACCCTTGCCTACTCTTCTGCCTTTATCGGCCATGTAAAAAGTTGGGGGATTCAATTCAGGGCAGACCCATTAATTTTTTAAGTTTAAAACATAGCCAACATACTTATTTAGTCCTTAATTTTAAGTTTTTAAACTATAATTTTTACATAATTCTGTCTCGACCTCACCAAATCATATTCTTGGATCTGCCTCTGGTTCAATTAAATTTTAGCTAAAGGCTGGACAGATCACAATTTATATCTACGTATAATTTTTATTCTTTTATTTTTTTTCTTAATTTTCAAACAAAAGAAAAAAAATGATAGAAGAAGCAACAAAGAAACCAACACTAGTGCTTTTTTCTTGAGTTAATTGTTCCAATGGTCACTGAACTTAAATTCATATTTTTTATTGGCCACTGAAATTTAAAATGTCAAGTTTTGGCCACTAAACTTATGTCCATATCTTCGATTGCTCACTGAAATTTAAAATGTCGAGTTTTGGCCACTGAATTTAACGGAATATAAAACCATTCCATCTGATTAATGGTCCATTTTAACGAATAAAGACCATCTGATTAATAGTCTTTATATTTTAAACTATTCCGCATATAAAATAAAAAAGGCTAGTCTTGTATACCATAAAATGTCGCACTATACTAGTGATACATATATATGGCGTCCTAGACAAATCGACCTTAACAAAATATAAAATTGACTAGAGATGGTTCTCTCAACTCGGTTAAGTTCAAACCATTGTCAGTTTGTAATTCTTGTTTGGAAGGTTATATGACCAAGATATCATTTTTCATCAAAAGAATAGAGTCATAGATGTATTAGAACTAGTGCATTATGACATGTGTGGAGCTGTGAATACACTTGGGAAGGGAAATTATGAATATTTCTTTATATTTAGATGATTACTCTATATTCAAATACATTTACCTAATATTTTGAAAGTCAAATACCTTTGAGAAATCAAAAGTGTATAAGACTAAGATCGAGAAACATTTGGGTAAGACTATTAACATGCTTCAATTTGATCGAGGTGGTAACTACCTCTCAAAAGAATTTAGGCACACTCAATAGAAATTGGTACTGTTTCTTAATTGAATAAGCATGATATACCTAAAAGGAATGGTTTTCAAAAAGAAGAAACATGACATTGTTAGATATGGTTAGGTCAATGAAGAGTTTCACAACTCTACCTATCACATTTTGGGATATACACTGAAAACAATTGGCTATATTCTTAACTTAATTTTTTCTAAGTTTGTTCTCAAGACTCTCCTGAAATTTTGGAATAGATGCAAGTCCTATTTGCATCATATCCAAGATTTAGGGGTCCAGCACATGTGTTGAAAGAAAAGGCTGAAAAGTTGGAGTCTAGGTTAGAGATGTGTCTGTTTGTGGGATATCCTAAAAATACCAAGAGATAATATTTATAATCCTCTAGATATGAGGGTTTTTGTTAACACAAATACAACTGTCCTAGAAGATAAGTATATTAATGATCATAGTCCAATAATAAGGTCGTGGTGGAAGAAATGAATAGGAGCAATTCTATCTCATTAATTCCTGGAACACAACCTAGGGCAGACATCCCATGGTGTCAAGTAAAAACTTGGGCAATGTGGTATGAGTGGGAAAGATGAGTAGTCATCTGATCTAATCAATCAATAGAACGTTGAAGATAATGAGGAGGTAATGGCGTCGCCTAATGGTAATGTCAGTATTGATTAAAATATTACGTTTCAAAGATGCCCCAGTCCTAGATCAATTGTCCCTTAAACAAAGTTGGAAGATTATCGATTCACCTTCAAGGTACTAGTTGAGTGGAGAGTCCAATATGGTGATCTCCATGGTACAAGTTGATTGTTTGACTTCATATAAGGAGATTATGGATGATGTGGATGCAGCGATCTATTTAAGAATCGAAACCTTCGATTATCGAGTTTTTGGAATAGAGGTTCGACAAAGTGATTAAGACATTTGATTTTAATCAGAACTTTGGTAAATCCTGTATCTGTAAGAAGATACAAGACAAAATTGTATTTTTTCCTAGTGCTTATGTAGATGATATTTAATCCATTAGAAATAATGTGGGTGCATTATTGTCTACGAAAGCTTGGTTGGTCCAATAGTTTCATATGAAAGCATAGTGAAGCTAGCTATGTTCTAATTTTCAGTTCTTGAGAGATCAAAAGAAAAAGACAATAGACTTGTACTAAGTCTCTTATGTTGACAAGATACTTGTCAGATTTGCTAGGCAAGGTTTTTCCCTCAAGTATCGAATCCAACTCTTCAAGGGTTAGTTCACAAAGACTCCTAAAGAGATCGATACATGAGAAATATGCCTTATGCGTTGGTAATTTAGTCTCATGTATGCTATGCTAAGCCTTAGGATTGAAACGCTGAATGGCGATAAAGCATATCTTTTAGTACCTAAGGAGAACAAGGAATTATATGCTCGTTGCTAGATATTATTTCAATAGATTAAAAGGATTTAGACCACCAGAGTGATGAAGACTATTACATGTCTACATTGGTATTGTTGTTTACACTTTATGGCAGGGCCATTATTTGGATAAATATCATGCAATCATGCATTGTTGATTCCACCATTGATTCCAAGTATGTAGCAGCTTATGAAGCTACCAAATTGGCTGTATGACTTGGAAATCCCTATAGACATCGTGGTGGTGCTTGCATTTGCACATGTCTCTACACTGCATTGGGATAACAGTGAGATTGTGGCAAATGTTAAAGAACCATGAGTCATGAGAAGGATAAACACATTGAACGGAAATGTCATCTCTTAAGAGAGATATTTGGTAAAGATAATGTAGTTGTCAGTAACATTGCTACTGAGATAATCTTGTAGACTATTTTACTAAGGCGATCGGCTAAGTTTTCGAGGGACACCTGAATGACACGAGGTTGCAAGACATGACACATATGCTCTAGGGCACGTGGGAGATTTGTTGGGTTGTGTGCCCATACAGTATATTTGGTATGAAAAATTAATTGTTTATAATAAATAAATTGTTGTTATAAAATGAGAGGAAAAGAGAATAGAGAAAACTCAAAAAGAATAGAGAAAACTCAATAAACTTTTTATGTGTATTATTGAAAACCAAAGCTCTATATTTATAGGTAAGAATCAGGGATATAATGGTAATAATTTCTAGGGCTACATGGGTACAAATGTCATTCACCAATAAACTTTAATGGACTTTCCATTTACAACACTCCCCCTTGAATGACATATTACAAAATATCTACCTTGTTAAAACTTTGTTTGATAAAAACCCAATGGGAAAAAAATCAAATGAAGGAAAAAGCGTACAGTTATTTTGCAGTATTAAAATTAAATACTGCCTCATTAAAACCTTGCTAGGAAAACCCAATCGAACAAAACCTAAGCGAAGGAAAAAGAGTACAACTACTCCCCCTGATGTTGATCACTGAAAATCTTTGAGTCGATGCATTCCAATCTCATGAACTAATTTCTTGAATGTAGATGTTGGCAACACTTTTGTGAATAGATCAGCCACATTGTCACTTGAGCGAATTTGTTGAATATCA